GGCGCTGGCGATTAGGTGAGGGAGACGCTGGAGAGACGGGTACAGGCAGCTAGGCCGAGCTGTCCACCACCCGGGTGCCAGCATTCCGACTCTCTCACACTGTGATGATTAAAACGGCAGACAGGATTTTCCAAGCGTCCATTTCTGGACTGGATGGGCCCATATGCTGACTTGTCTCTAATTCCCATAAGAGGCACGATTTGCTATATTGGATACAAGAGGAAGCTGGCACTCAGAAAGGTGGAGCCACTTGCTTGAGGTCACCTGGCTGGTTGACAGGGGGGCCCAGATCCAAACCCAGGTCTGCGCAACTCCAGGGGCCGTCCCTCTGGGTAGGGTCCATCTATTCCCAGCAGCATCAGGAGCATCCCGTCTGCTAGTTATGGAGCACTAACTCTGTACAAGGCGCGATCTAAAGCTTATGCTATGAAGGACTGAGGCTGGACGCTCATGACAGAGGAAGAACTTGGGGCTCCCCAAAGGGGTGTCATTTACCCAATGTCAAGGGCTTGCCAGGTGGGAGGCGAAATCTGAACCCAATCATAACCTGCTGAGATACTGATGGGCCTGCAACCCTCTCTCGAGGAGGCAGAGCTGGGCTGGTGCCCACAGAGTCAGGGGAAGAGGGCTGGGAGCCTGTGGAGAGGAGGTGGCGGCTGGGCCGAGGCAGGGCCAGGACTGTGAGGGACATCTGTGTCTTAGAACAAGCCCACGGCCTCCACCTCAGACAGGCTGGGCCCCTCAGACAGGATATCCTGTCTCCCTGCTGCGTATCCTCAGCTTCTCCAGGGTCCTGCTTTTCAGACGTGTCCTCCGGTGCCAGCCCTGCCTTCCAGGCCTCTCAGCTGTTCCTGCCGCGTCTCCCCACCCATCTCATTGCCCCAGCAGATTCAATTAACCAATTTGATGCTCCAGCTGCAGAAAGCCAAGTAATTATGGAAAACAGACCAGGTGCCTTGGAACTTGCTCTCACAGTGGGGCCTGGGAGGCCTCCAAACAGACAGCAAGCTGGGAGGGAGGCAGAGCCATCTAGGCCAAGGCTGGCCAGCCCAGCCTGCATAAGAGAGCTATCTGGCCAGCTCCGACAAATACAGATGCTCCCCAAAGAGCAAAACAAAAGCAGAGACCCAGGCTGGTTCTGTTACTATGGGCTGGAGCTTGGTCATCAGGATTTTAAAAAAGTCTTTGTCCCATTTTCTGTTGCTATAATAAAATACCTGAGGCTGGGAAATTTATTAAGAAGAAAGGTTCATTTGGCTCCTACCTGGGTTTTTTTGATCTTTCCAAACTGAAACTGTGTACCCAATAAGCAATAACTCCCTATGCCTCCCCTCCCATCCCCTAAGGACCTTCATTCTATTCTCTATGATTGTGACTACTCTGCATACTTCAAATAGATGAAATCATGCACTGTGAGTCCTTTAATGACCGCCCATCTTCAATGTTTTTCCATATTGAGGCAGGTGACAGATTTTCCTTCTTTTTTAAGGCTGAGTAATATTCCACTGTATGGACAGACCACAGTTTCTTTTTCCATTCATTCCTGCTTGGACACTTGGGTATTTTGCCCCATTTAGTTATTGTGAATAATGCTGCTGTGAACATTGGTGTACAAATATCTGTCCGTGCTTTGAATTCCTTTGCACATATACCTAGACACAGAATCGCTACATCATATGACAATTCCATTTCTAATATTTTGAAGTATCGCCATTAAGTTTCTTTCTTTCCTCCTTCTCCTTCCTTCCCTCCCTCCCTTTCTTCCTTCCAAAGTGGCCCAAAGACCTCCGGGGCCAGCTCCACTTTCCTTGGGTTCTGTAAACCTTCCTGCATTTCCCAGAAGGACTCTGGACCACACGTTGCTATCTCAGGAGTCAAAAAGTAAATACTCCCCTTTCTTTTCTTTTCTGTCTTCCTTTAAAAAAAAAAAACAAAAAAACCCTCAGTTGCAGAAATCACCTAATTGAAAGTTGCAGGAGAAGAACCCTCCTCCCCACAGGGAAAAGGGAACTATTCAGAAAGCCCAGCCTAGCAGCTAATTGCGGGTTTGTATTGGGGATTCTTGGCAAATGCTTAAATTGCAGATCAACCTGACTTTTGTGATGAAGTGTTTGGAAACACACAAGGGGGCTGGGTTTGAGATCGTCAGCCTGGAGGTGACAGCGCCGCTTTCTCTGCTGACAAATAAAGCAAGTTAGAATCTTGTGGATTTGCATTCAGGAGTTCGGCAGCTTTGCCTGGATTTCTACAGGCTGCATCCCCATTTCCTCTATTATCCCAGCCAATGGCCTGTATATAAAATGCCAGCCAGCCGTGATTCCTACTCACACGGTGGCTCTGAACCCTGACTGAACATCAGAAATATCTGGGTGCCTTAAAAATACATTTACATATGTTGGGCACAGTGGTGCACACCTGTAATCCCAGCAGCTCGGGAGGCTGAGGCAGGAGGATGGCGAGTTCAAAGCCAGCCTCGGCAACTTAGTGAGGCCCTGAGCAACTCAGTGAGACTCTGTCCCTCAGGAGGCTGAGGCAGGAGGATTGCAAAGCCAGCCTCAGCAACTTAGTGAGGCCCTGTTTCAAAATAAAATATAAAAAAGGACCAGGATGTGGCTCAGTGGTTAAGCGCCCCTCAGTTCAATCTCCAGTCCCCCACAGAAAAGTTGTGAGAGTGCTCACTCTGTGCTAGGGACAGCGCCCTGCACTGTGTGTGTGTGCTGATCTTGTGGATCTACCTAGTGTTCCTTAGAGGGGTCCTTGTTATTCCCGTTTCACAGATGAGAAAAACCTAAGCACACAGACTAGCCGAGGGCCACCAAGGTGACTGAGTGGCAAAGTTGGGACCCAGGCTGGATCTCCAGCCTGTGCACTCAACCCCTGACCTTCTGGTCCTTGGGCCTTGTACACCTTTCTGTCATGTCACTCAATCTAACAAGCATGTGCTGCTTTTGTCGTAAAATTTTAGGTGAAATATGGAAGTGTTGGGGCTCCCAGGGTCCTCTGAGGTCCCCTCTTCGTCCAAGCAGGCCACAGGAAGTCTTTTATACCAGTCCAGGTTGGGAATAGATATTCACGCCTTGATCTGCATTTGGTTCAACCTCGGCCTGCTCGCCTGCCACTCAGGGACTGGACAGTCACTGATCTGTCGGGGCCTGACACCTTGGAGGGGGTGGCCCTGGTCTGTAACAGCAGCTGTCACAGGCTGCACCAGTGAGGATCGTGAGATCTGCACAGGGCAGGCAGCGCTTCATTAGCCACAGACTCCAAGCCACAGGCCCTGAGATGGTCCAAAACCAACGGGCCCATGGGGGGCCTCTGAGGATGGACACGTGCAATACAGGAAGTGTAACCACCTTGTGCAGAGGGAGCCTTGCACGAGGGTTCTTCAGCCCTGAGCTCATGGGAGACCTGGGGCCAAGGATTCTAGACTAGATCTAAGCAGAGAGCTTCCATGTGCCCCGAGAAGGACTCCTGAAGGGGTGACATTGGGTCCCCAATGCCAGCCCTACCAGGTGCTGGAGGAAATGCAGACCTTTGACCTGTCGAGCTGGCAAGACCAGAGCTTGAATCCTCTCTCTCTTTCTTCACTTGAGAGCTTGGAAGGGCTGCGTAGCCTGAGTCACTAGACCTGTAACCTGAGGACGATAATAGTGACTGACTGACAGGGCGGGTCATGGTGAATATCAGCCATGATATAGGGAAGTACCTACTGTGATAAGGATACATGGAATGATACTGTGACTTTCACTGACTCCGATCCCACGTGCGCATGGTTTCTGAGACAGCTCCCACTGACCCCTACCTCACACCATTTTTACTCTTGTGAAATCCCTTCCTCTTGAATGTGGGCTGGACCCAGCGAGTTGCTCTCATGAATAGAACTGGGCGAGAGTGATAGTATGTTATTTCCAGTATCAGATGACAAAAGATTCCTCCTTTCCCTCTGTCGCTCCTTCACGTGACCACCACAATGGAAGCCGTCTGCCATGCTGTGAACTGCCCCATGGAGCCGTCCATGCGGCAAGGAATCGAGGAAGATCACCGGCCAACCACCGGGAAGGGACCGAGTCCCCCAATCCAACAGCCTGCAGGGAACTGAGTCCTGCCAACCACTACAAGAGAGCGCTCGAGCACAGACCCTCACGATGAATCCAACCACACATATGATTATGGTGCAACAATAAATAAATAAACAAATAACAACAATAAAAAAGACAACAGAGCTTCCCTGGTTGGGCCTTCAGATGAGCCTGCAGCCCCAGCCAACTCCCTGACTGCCGCCTTGTCAGAGATGCTCACTCAGAGCCACTCAGCAAGAATCTGACTACGCTCCCGAGCACAGGAACTGTGATTGTTGATTTAAGCTACAGTGTGACTACTGCACCCTGGAAACAAGACTAAATCACACCCTGGAAAAAAGCAGACTGAACTCTACAGGACAGTGGCAGATGATGCCTTTACTTAAACACTCTATCCTCTGGGAACCCTTTCAAAGTCCTCATCTCTGAGTTATTGACTCTATTTTCTTATATGTCCCCCTATTAGACTAAGGAACTTGAATCATCATCATCATCATCATCATCAACATCATCATCATCAAAGATTCCACACAGTGAGCACTTATTATGTACCAGGTACTGTTCTGTGGTCATTAGATACCTATTCATCACAAGAATCTTATGATACAAGCACCATTACTGTCCCCAGTGAGAAAACGGAAGCTCAGAGGAGTCAAGTGACCGGTCAAAGATCTGAGTTATCATGTGGCAGTTCCGGGAAATCTAGCTCCAGAGTCAGATTCATAACACAGAACGATTTTGTTACACGGCTCCACGGTCTTGCCCAAGTTCACAGATGGTAAGTGGATTCAAACTCAGCTGGCTGAACATCCGACATGACGTTCCTAAACACAACTCGCTCCAGATGCCTTTCGACTCTGGGACAGGAAGGGGTTGAACGTGCCTCACCTGGGCTTCCTCGAGGTCTAGGGGGCTACCCACCTGTGAACACGAGGCTGGCATTTTCCAGTTCTTCTTGGGGAACCTTGAAGCTAAAGGACTCATTGTAGAAAGGATCAATGGTGCCTCTTAAGAAGGATGTCTTCTTGGTTTTCACGAGCTTGAGTCCGTGCACCAGCTGGATTTTCACAAATGGGTCTGAGATTTGGACACAGCACCAGAGAATGTTGAAGACCATGGAAACGAATCCACTCACCCCTCCACTAGGACCACCCCCTCCACCAGTCCAGACCTCTCTTTCATTGATTAATCTCCCGTCCATCCATCTCTTCTATCATCCACGCACCATTTCCCCAACCACTCCTTATCTGCTCATCCTTGTCCTTCATCCCCAGTTATCTAATATTTACCAACCTCCCCCAGGTTTCAGTCACGGAGCTCATTTTAAGGTAAGAAAACTGAGGACTCAGCAGAACAAATGACTTGCTCAAGCTCAGACCAGTAGAGTTAAAACCAGGCTCAGAGGTTACCCTGGATCTTTGCTGACAAATTTATCACGTCAGGGAGCTCACAGCCCATCCACAGGAGAAAAGAGATTAACGAATTATAAATATCATCCTTCGATCATTTTATAGTTTAGAAAGGGGACTCATGTACATTAACTAATTCAACATTTATTTAAGATCTCAATGCAGTGAGATGAATACTGTTATTATGCCAACTTCTGAGATGGAGACATCGAGGCATTCAGAGAGGTTAAATACCTTCCCCCAAGACCACATCATCTGTAAGCAGCGGAACTGCGATTTGGTTCCAGGAAGTTTGACTCCTGAACCTTTTTACTCATTCATCACACCGTCTCTCTCCCACTGGGATGAGTCTGAAACTCTCCAAACCTCACACCAATTCTTCCACCAGTTCCCTTGAAACCCCCTGTTTTACAATGTGTCTTTTGAGTCTTCTAGACTCGGTTGTTACCTTATTGCAAATATAATTTATTTTGTTTATTACATTTAGAGAAAACAATATTTCTACCACTGAACTTAAGAGGTGCCAGGGACCGTGGCTATTTTCACAAGAATACCTTTTGCTGTCATGGGAGAAGCTACATACAAATGTCACAGAACCTGTTCTAGTTCATTAAAAGTCATGTTTGAGTTGGTTTTGCTATAGACACTTAACACGTAGTCCTTTCAATTAACACATATGCCTTTCAAAGCTGGGGTTCATAAAGATTTATGCTACACATGGAATGAGCTGGGGGTGAAAAAAGAAACTACCAGGCTGTGCCCACCATGCTGGTGGATTGGAATACAAAGTCATTACACACTACCGCCACCTAGAGCATGGTGTCTCTATTGCAGGCACAGTTTTGTGAAGGTGAGCAACCTCCTCGGGGCTTCCGTGTGTTCAAAGAAAATCTAGATTTTTCAAGAGTGATCACACCTGGTCACAGTCCACTTCCCAGTTCAAACAGGGCTCCCAAGACGGTATCAAGTACCTGCTTCATCCTAAGAGATGTTTGATCATTTATTTTCCTTCTTGAACTAGCATCCTAATTCTGAATGCTATCTGCTCTCCCAAGGCCTTATCAAGAGAACACAGGATGCAGAAAAATCAGGTTCCCCCAAACAAACACAGATGTCCCCTTAAAGAATTTAGGGGAGGAAGGGATCTGAGTGTACCTGAGCCTTGGCTCACATCGGTCTGAAGAAGCTGCTTGGCTCGAATGATGTCCACATTCAGTCTCCCGGCACTCGGGAGGTAATTCAGAGACAGCAGCAGCTCCCCCAGCTCCACTTCATTCTGCAGAGAAAGAAAATGGTGAGAAAGTCACTTTTTTTTCTTTTCCTCTCTCATTCCGTTTGCACCCACCATGCAAGAGACGGATTCCAGCAGCTTCTAAATGAGTAGCTGTGGGTGGATCCGTTGACAGTGGGTGCCTGTTTCATTGACTTCTTTTAGATTCTGCCTCCAATTATTTTCTTCAATCCATCACAGAATGTTTTCTTCTGCCCTTAGAGCCCTTAACAGCAGCAACCACAATTTTAACAACAAAAGTTTGGACAGTTTAAAAAATGCAAGATGTCACATATTAGGCTAAGTGCTCTCTATATGTCATAGCAAATTTAATCTTCATAATGAGTCCCCGAGGAGTTAGTTTATTTACTGACTGAAGAGATGAAGAAATGGAGGCTCAGAGGGGTTAAGTAACATGTCCAAGGCCACACAGCACGAAAGTGGTAGAACTGGCCTTTAGACCCAAGGAAGCTGCGGGACGGTGGGGCACAGGCGAAGGCTGCCATTTTGGCAGGGAGACCAACTCTCTCTGAGAGGTGAGGCTGGGGGACGGCCCCAAATGTCATGAAGGACTGAGACTCGGGAGGCAGGGAGGGGGCTCACCAAGCAGAGGGAACAGTGAGTGTCAGGGCCGGTGGCGGAGGAAGGAATGAACTTGATGTGTTTAAGGGACAGAGGAAAGGCCAGGAAGAGCTGATGCGAGAGATGTCCATCGGAGCCAGAGCAAGCTGCCCAGCGCTGTCCCCATGGGGGCCTGGCCACCCTCACAGGACTCAGGAGGAGGAGGAGAGGCCATCTCCTAGGCCCTCAGCACCTACAGGCCTTTCCTGGATGGACTGGGCGGCTCTCCTTCCTGGGGCCCGAACACCCCATCAGCAAGGCAGCTGCCCACTCGTCCCCAGGGTCTCTGGCAGCCACTAAGCTCCTAGAAAGAGTCTCAAATCTTTCTATCGAAGCCCTTTCCTTCCTCCTTCCCCCGTAGGACACAAGCTTCACCCATGCTGTCCCCACCCCGAGCACGGGATGGCGTGTCTTCTGGCCAAGCGTCGGCCTTGATCCTCTCTCTCCTGCGAGATGGGAGCCATCAATTTGCACAAAGCCGATGTTTGGAGTCAGGGGACAGCTGTGGAAAATAGAGAGGGCGCTCACTGAGCCCCGTCAGAGGGTTTGCTGATCTGTGTGACCAACATTCATTCCATAACCTAGGTGGACAAGACGTGGCCCCTGGGGCGAGCGCGGGGAACATGGGAAACAGCCATAGTTCCAGAGGTGGCACCCCCATTAGAAAGGCCACAACAAACAAATCAATAATTACACAAAAGCAGAAAGTGGCAGGTGTGGGCAAGGTGGTAACTCTGCTGGTGACAATGTGACACGGTGCAGCCACTGTGGTCAGCCACTGTGGCAGCTCCCACAAGGGTTGCACACAGAGCTCCCACGCGGGCCAGCGATTCTACTCACAGGTAATCCCCCCCAGAGCAGAAAACACGCAGCCGCGCCAAAACCTGCTCCCCAACATTCACAACAGCCCCAAGGGGGAGAGGCCCAGTGTCCACCATCGGGAAAAACAACTTATGGTCCATCCAGGTGACGGGTGCTCTTCAGATACGACAAGGGACGATGCGCTGACAAGTGCTACAATGTGGGTGAACCTCGAGATCGTGCTCAGTCCAAGAAGCCAGACACAAAAGATCACATTTGGTAGGACTCCATCCAGACCATGAAACCCACAGGGACAGGAAGCAGACTGAGCAGCTGCTGGGACCTGGGAGCAGTGGGCATGGCAGTGTGACTGCTTCACGGGCACAGGGTCTCCTTTGGTGATAGAATGTTCTGGAATTTGAGGTGATGGCGGCACACCACGGGGTGTGGACTCAATGTCGCTGAATCACATACTTTGAAATGGCTGAATTTATGTTTATATGAATTTCACCTCAATTAAAAAAAATTATAGGGCTTATGTGTTAACAAGCCATAGGAACCAGACCCAGGAAGACTGAAGTACAGCCTATTCCCCGCAGGGGAGGGGACAGAAAGGGCTTCATGCAGAAGGAGACACTTGGGCTAGGCCTTGAAAGGTACATAGGATTTGGTCCGGTTTATTCTATTGCTGAGAAATGTTACAGCAAAGGCCATCCATGCGAATTCTGCTCCTGAACTTCCCGATCTCACCACATAAAACCCCAAGTGACTTGTATTTATAATAAAGTAGCCGACAATGCTTGATAACTTAAGATTTTAAGATAAATTAGGAATCTCCTTACAAATAACATCACCCCACTTTGCATTCCCGGTTTGTGTGGGTAAGCGGGAAAGAATGCTGGCTTCCCCTTAGGCAGAACAGGTGTGTGCTCTGGACCCCCCAGAAGCAGGTGAGGTCCTCCACCTCCACTTAAAATATCAGAAATATATTTGAGAGGGAAAACAGTGGATATTTCAGTAATAACAATGAGGAATCATTGAGACACGAGGACCTTGCTGAGACTGACAGTTAGAACTGTTACTATTTTGAATGGCATAAGGTAGGAATTGGGGCCTCAAGGTCTTTATTTTAACCCAGACCTGGAGAAAGTGCAGAGTCCCCCACTTTAACATCTGCCCCAGAAGGTGTAGCACAGAGGATCAGCAGCAGCCCACGTGGGCATCAGAAACTGTAGCTCATGCCTAGCACGCTTGAGGCCCTGGGTTCCTTCCCCGGCACCTTAGAAACAAAACCAAAAGCCAAAACCAACTGCAGTTCTAAAAACCAGAAGGCAAAAATGTCCCCCCAAGGTTTCCTGGAGCCAGAGTCTTTCTTAATTCCTCTTCCCCTGCAGAAGTATCTGATACTACATTTAAAAGCTGACCAGTAGCCAGTGGATAAAGAACTTCAAACGTGGGAACTGAAAGCAGGGCCACCTCATTCAGACGCTCCCCAACCCATTGCCCCCAAGACAGATCGTGGAGTTAATGGTGCTCTTTGCAGATGTCCATAAAGTACTGGTGGATAAAACTGCACCAACTTGGGGTGATTTTGCCCTTTCCGCATCTCCTTCAGGGATGTTTGACAATGTCACCACAGTTTTGATGGTCACCACTTGGGATAAGGATGCCACTGGCATCTGGTCTGGTGGAAAGACGTCAAGGATACTGCTAAACATCCTACAAGGTGCAGACAGCTCCCTCTTGCTTCAATGAAGAATGATCTGACCGCAAATATTCGTAGGGCCTGGGTTGAGAAATCCTGAACCAAACCCATGAATCCTGGGCTCCTTCAGGTTTCTCTCTTGGACACAACTCTGGCCAAGCCAATTGTTAACAGGAACCAGACTTGAACTCTTCTGCAATCAATTTCAGAAAAGACCGTTCCCTGCCTCAGTGGAACTTGTCCTGAACCTTCTTCAGACCCCAAGAGGCCAAAGCACCAGCTCCCAGCCAGAATCTCGAAAGGCTGAGCTAAGGTTCCCCTCCTTCTGCTTCCTTCCCATAGGATAATCCTCCCAGGAAGTGGCCACGCCATCCCAAGGAGAGTGGATGCTTGTTCTGGAAGGATCTCGTTCCTCAAGTCCCCCTCCCCTTAACCAAACTTAGTACAATAATGTTGGATGCCGGAGCTGAAATGATTCAGCGGCACACTCTATAAAAGAAAACAGAACCATGTCATTCGCTCTTCTTCCTCTTTAAAATCCTCCATCGCTCTTAAAATCTAGAACTCTCGGCCTGGTCTGCAGCGGGATCTGCCCCCTCGGCACTTCTGACACTTGCAAGGCGTCCTTCTTCACCGTGGAGGGCTGTCCTGTGCACTGAAGGACATTAAATAGGTCCCCAGCCTCCACCAGCTGGAAGCCAGTGGCATCCCCTCCCCACTCCTGTGACAACACCAAATGTCTCCGGGCATTGCAATATCCCCTGAGGGCAAAATCACCCCGCTGAGAACTACCCATCAGAAGGACCTAAACGAGTTGGCAGAACCCATCCACCAACCACGTTTTCCTTCTGTTTTTTGAAAACACAAGATTACTCCAAGGCTTGCTCCTGCTGCTTCCTGGGAATCTCAGGTCAAACGTCACCTTCTCATCTAAACTTTCCATGGCCATCCCACTACAAACAGGCCCCTGGGTCTATCACACCACTTTATTTCCTTCATGATACTTTGTTCTTTCCTGATATTTTCTTGCTCTCCCTAAAGGCCAGGACAGCGCCCATCTGCCTGCTACTGTAGATGATCCAACTTGTGATGGTTCGACTTATGATCTATTTCCACTTTACAGTGACATGAAAGGAATCGCCACTCAGTAGAAACCATCCTTTGACTTTTGATCTTTCCCTGGCCTAGTGATATGTGGTCTTGCAATGCTCGGGCCGTGGCAGTGAGCTCAGCTCCCAATAAGTCACATGATCAAAGGAGAAACGAGGAGTGTGCTGTGTTGCTGAATTGGGATGTTTGGCAGGTTAAGTGGTGCAATGGTCAGCTTTCCCTCACTGTAACAACATACCTGAGATAATCAACTTATAAAGAAGAAAGGTTTATTTTGGTTCACAGTTTCAGAACTTTCAGTCCATGATCTGTTGGCTCCTTTGCTTTGGGGCTGTGGTGAGGCAGCACATCATGGTGGGAGTGCATGGTGGAGCAAACCCATTCACTTCATGGCCAGGAGGTGAAGGAGAGGAAGAGGAAGGGGTTAGGGTCTCATTCTCCCTTTCAATGGCACACCTCCAATGACCTGAAGACTTCCTAGTCCCCAGCTCTTAAAGGCTCTGCCATTCCCCAACAGTGCCACTCAGGGGAACAAGTCTTCATTACATGGACCTTTGGAGACACTTAAGATCCCAATTATAGAAGACAGAATAAATCCTTTTTTTTTTTTACTGGGATTGAACTCAGGGGCACTCGCCCACTGAGCCATGTTCAAAGCCCTATTTTATATTTTATTTAGAGGCAGGATCTCACTGAGTTGCTTAGTGCCTTGCTGTTGCTGAGGCTGGCTTTGAACTCGCCATCCTCCTGCCTCAGCCTCCCAAGCCAC